TACTAAGTAATAAAAAAAACGACGATATTTTTTAAAACCTTAAGTACTTTTTTATCTAATTTTAAGAAACTTATTAACTTAGTTAGCGAGCTAGCTAAGGCCGAGGATAACGAGATACTTAACGTTATTTATAACTTTAATAATAATATAGTTCTTAAAAAAATAGATTATAAGAAAATATAACGTACCGTTAAGAAAAGTAATAAGTAGAATAAAGAACTCGTAGAGCTTTTTAATAATAACTCTGCTTAGATAGTTATAACTCTAACTAAAAATAATAAAAATATTACTACTTTTTAGAATATAATTAACGAGGCTATAACTAACTTAAGAATTAAAAAAAGAGAAGTAAACGACTTAGAATAAAAAATTAGAACCCTCCGAGTTATTATTAATATTATTAAAACTCTTATAAATAGATAAGAGAAACTTAAGCTTAATATACCTACTATTTTTAATAGAACTACTAAACGTCTTAAGGGATTCTTAATTTAGATTAGAACTTACTAAATATTCTATATTATTAATTTCCGTAATAAAACTAAGCGAGTTATTTACGTAGTAACCTTCCTTAGGAAACGAGCTCTAGAATAGTTCGAACCCTTTTAAAAAGAATTCCTTAGTAATAACGGTTATTTACTATATTATAAAAAAGAAACTATAAATATTTTTATTAGTATAGTAAGATTTTAGAGCGCCCTCGAATCCCTATTTTAAGACCTTAATAAAAAATAATAAGTTAAGAGAGACCTAGCTAACTTTTAATAAACTAAGTTTACCTCGTACTACGTTACTAAGTTTAGAAAACTCGTAATATAACTCGATTTTACTAAAGAAACCCGTATCTTTTTATTTTACTAAAAATTAAAAAATAAGGTTAAGGACGAACTTAATAAAATAAAAATATTAATAGATTTTTTATATTACGTCGAGCTCGCTATTAAAATTAATACTTGACTCTACGAACGATATAAAAAAAAGGGGGAAGTACGATACCCTTAAGCTAATTTTAATAAAAAATACTAAAGCTATAGTAAATTACTAAATAATTACTAAAATAACTTAAAAAACTAATAGTAATAAAGTACGTTTTATAAATAATATAGAGGGCTTATAAACTTTAGCGTTACTAAACGCAAAGAAGTACTAAAAAAAAAGGATTTTAAATACTATAATTACGATAAACTAAGATATATAGCTAGAGATTATTAATAACCTAAGCGTATTTAATACTAACCTATTTTAAAAAAGTAAGTTAATATTATAAATAAAGAAGTCCCTTATAAATAACTTTTATAAATAGTTTATTACGATAATAGCTATCTTATTTATTAAGATAATAAGGAATAAATAGGATAATATCTAAAATAACTTAAAAATAAAAGACGATCTAAGTACGGTATTATATTGCTTATTAAAACCCTAGTAGTAATAATAAAAAAAATAAAAATACCCGCTTACTAACCCTATATTCTTAAAAAAAAAAATATTAAATATATTACTACGCTCTCTTAGATTTATAAAAATATAAAAAAAAAAGCTAAAATAGACCCCGTTATAAAAGATATACTTTACTTTTTTAAAGGACGAATTAAGTAAAAACTCTTAGCTAATATAAAAGAGTAACTTTTTAAATTTAAAAAAAGAGGACCCGATATAAAAAAAATTATAAGTAGCCTCGTTTATATAATACGACGAAACTATATAAACTAGAAATAACTTATTAAATTTAAAAAAGAATTCGATTTAAATAAAATCCTAACTAAATCTATTTATATAATACGAAAGGTAGACAGTAATAAAAAATTTATTTATAAGGTTAAAGAATAACTTAAGGACCTCGTATATAAAAATAAGATCGAAGTATTTAAAAAACCGACTCTTAATTTTAGAGTTATAAAAGAAAAAAAAATCAACTTTAATTTTAAAAAAGAAAATATTAAAATAGGAACTAGCTCTTTTTATTTTAATAAAGTAGAATTACTCTATAATTCGAACGAACTTTATAACGTTACCTAATAACGTACTTAAATAGAGATTAATTATAAAATACTACTTAGTATTAACGATACTAGCTCTAAAAAGGACGATAATAAATTACGGTATAAATATATTTATTTATTTAAGGATAACTAAACTATTTAGTTTTATAAAACTAGAGAACGTAAAAAGGTTATAATAACCCCCTATATAAATAAAGATCACTCTCTACTTAACCCTAAAGACCCTTTTTATAAGGAATTGTTTTAGGTAGAATACCTAAATAATAAATATTTTCGGTACCTCGTATATAAATAAAATAGTCGTTTTTACTTATAAAAATATAATAGTAAGCTTATTAAGGATGTTTATATAAAAAATTAATTACCTAGCTAGACGCTACTAAGCTTCGATAATAGTAATAGAATAATATTTAGCCTAGACCTTAGCTTTTTTATAAAGTACTTTAATAGCGAATATATAAAATAGGAAGATTATAAGTACGACTAATACTAAGTTTACTATATTAAAAAAGCTAAGGCTTAGAAAAAATAATAAGAACTATATGAATAAGGTACTTAATAAAAAAAGTATATATTAAAAAACTAAAAAAGCTAATTACGAAAGAATAACGAAAGGCGAAAATAGAAAAAAGGTTTTTATATATAATTAGATAATATAACGACGTATATTTATAAATTAACTTCGATATTTATAAACGAGGATTAAACGCTATTATTAATAGCGGCGTATAAAAAAGTTATATCTTATTAAGAATAGTAAATAAACTTAACTTATTATAAGTATAAAAAGATAATTTATATTAATTATAAATAGTAAAAGGAGAACGAGTTAATTATAATTATAAATATATTAATTAAAAAACCGTATACCTCTCGATATATATTAATAATTAGTAAGAATAATTATAATACGATATTATAGAGATAGGAGATATTAATATTATCTTAAGAATCTTATAATTACGAAAGTATAACTTATAGATAGATTAGATTATTAGCTAAGTCCTTTAAAAAAATTTAGTTATTAAACGACTTAAAAAAAAAAAGGGTTTAAATAGATTTTTAAAAACTCTTAAAGAACGAGAATAAATACGATATATAACTTTTATTAAAATAATAAAAAGCTCTAAGAAGTTTATAATTAGTATTAACGATCGGGGATTATAACGACTCTAAACTATACCCGAGGAGTATTAAATATATATAAAACTATTTATAGAACCTAAAGAAATAGGGTTATTAAAATATAATAACTAGGATATAGAAATCGAACTTAAAAAAGGAATATAACCTAGGTTCTTTTTAATATACTTAATAAATTAAAAAGAATAGGAATACCTTAACGAATATATTAATAAGAAACTTAAGAAAGGACTTATTTAACTATTAAATTTTTTTATAGGATTACCTTTATTTTTTATATTAAAAAAAGGAATAAAAAAACGAAGATTAGTTATTAATTATAGAAAACTTAACGAAATTATAAAAAAGAATTGCTATTTTTTATTACTTATCGCTAAGCTTAGAGACTTATTTTACGGAGCTAATTAGTTTATTATTATAGATTTTAAAAAAGTATTTAACTAGATTCGAATTAAAAAAAGAGACGAATAGAAAACGGTATTTTAAACTCGTAAAGGACTTTTTAAGTACTTCGTTATACCCTTTAGACTTACTAATACTCTAATAACTTTTTAAATAATAGTTAACTACGTACTCTAGGAGTACGTCGATATTTTTATTATTATTTATATTAATAATATTTTTATTTTCTCTCTTAATTTTAAAATATATAAGAAGTATATTTATATAGTATTCTAAAAGCTCTAAGATACTAAGCTATATACTAAACTCTCTAAGTACGAGTTTTATATATAAAAAGTAGACTTCTTTAGATATATTATTATACTAAGATAAATCTATATATAAATATTAAAAATAAAAGTAATTAGAGACTAGCTTATATTATAGAACGTTAAGGACGTATAAGGATTTTTAGGATTTATTAATTTTTATTAACGATTTTTTAAAAACTATATTAGTATAGTTAGACCTCTTAATAACCTAATATAAAAAGATATCCTATTTATTTAGGATCCTAAGTATAAGGAAGTATTTATTAAAGTTAAGAATATAGTCGTTTTTAAACTAGTTATTATAATTCCGGACTTTTAAAAACTTTTTAAAGTTAAGATTAATACTTTAGACTTTATTATAAGAGCGGTCTTAGGATAACGAGATAAATAAAAAAAGCTTTATTTATATTATTTCTATTTTAAAGCATTTTACGGAGCAGAATTAAATTAGTAGATCTATAATAAAGAATTAATAGCTATTATTAAAATATTTCGAAAATAAAGATTATAGTTATTTAGAACTAAGTACGAAGTTATAGTTTATATAAACTATAAGAACTTTATAAACTTTATAATAAATAAAAACCTAAATAAACGATAAGTTAGATAGAGCGAATTCTTATTTAAATATAACTTCTAAATTATTTATTAAAAAAGTTTAAAAAATAATAGAGTAAACGCTCTTAGTAAAAGACCTAATTATAAAGTCGCGGTCCCTAAAAAAATATAAGTTATTTTTAAATAAGAAAAGGACAGTAGCCTTATACTAACTATAAAACTTTTTATAATAGCTAAAAAGATTAGTACTAGCTTAATTAGAAAAATAACCCCTAAGCTTATTATAGAAATTTATAGTATATTAATATATAGTTATTAAGGAGTTACTAAAACGTAGAAACGGATTTATTAATATTATAATAAATCTACTATACGCGCTAAAATTATAAAAGTAATTAAAGACTATATAACTTATAAAAAAAGTAAGAATAGCCTATATAAACCTTATAGCGAGCTATAACTATTATAATTACTAATAAAAGTATAGTAATTAATTATATAGGATTTTATTATTAAACTACTAAAGTCTAGAGAACTATTTATTAAAATATAGTATAATAATATCTTAGTTATAGTCGACCGACTTATTAAGTTTACTTACTTTATTCCTTATAAAGAATTTAGTACCGTAAAAAACTTAGTATACGTATTTATTAAGATTATATTTTTAAACTACGGTTTACTAAAAGAAATTATTTTTAATAAAAATAAACTATTTATTTTAAAGTTTTAGAAATTTTTAATTTCGTAACTTAGTATAGACTATAAACTATCGATATTATTTTATTTATAAACCGATAAATAAATAGAAAGGATTAACTAGATCCTCGAAATATACTTTTATTATTATATAAACTACGATTAGGATAATTAGGTAGTACTCTTATTAATAGCTTAGTTTATATATAATAGTATAGTTAGTAAAAGTATAAGAGAATCCCCGTTCTACTTTAACTACGGATTCTAGTTAATAGTATATAGAGAAGTATAATAAGGACTATAAGCTATAAAAACTATAATAAACGTAAATAAACTTAAAGAGATCTATAAATAAGCCTTATTAAACTTCGAGTTTATATAATAATATATAAAAAAAAATATAGATAGATTAAGGATTAGAGGACTATTTTTAAAAAAGGGGGATAGCGCTTATCTCTTTTGTTATAATATTAAAATAAAATAACTAAGTAATAAGCTAGACTATAAAAAACTTAAACTTTTCGAAATTATTAAGAAAATCTTACTAATTAATTACGAATTAAGATTACTAAATACGATACGATACTATCCTATTTTTTATATCTTACTACTTAAGCTTATATTAAGAGGTTTATATATAGAAAATTATATTATTATTAAACTAAACTAACTAGAATACGAAGTCGAACGAATTATTAATTATAGAGTTAAGAATAAAATACGAGAATTCCTAATTAAATAAAAAAACTACGGATATAAAGAGAATATATAAGAACTATACGATAATTTTTAAAACGCCCAATAGCTTTTTAACGATTATAAAAGAATAACTAAGCCCTAGAAGGCTCGTTCGTAACTAAAAGCCTTAAATCTATAAATCTAGTACTAAAAAAAGACTAATTAGTCTCGTTTAGAGTACCCTAAGTAGCTAGGTCCTTTATAATACGTATCTTTTACGTTTCTAAGGATTTCTCTTTAGCCTCCTACTCTTTAACTAACTATATCTTATAATAAATAAAATCCGAACTACGCTCCTTAAAAAATCGCTTTTACCTTCTTAAATAAGATAAATAACTAAGAGTAGTTATAAGCTAAGTTTATAAGACTTTTAGAGCCTTTTTAGCCTCCTATTCTTTAAACTCTATCTTTTTCTATTCCTTAAAATAACGATTTATTATAATAAATTAGTATTTTATAGAAAGGATAAAAAAAAAAGAACTTATAAGCGTTTGCTATATTATTACTATTATAATTTAATAAACCCCGAGTAGCGTACTTATTATAACGCTTAGAATTTAATAAGTCTATTTTATATACTTAGTTATATTAAAAATAAAGAGAGTATAGTATTACGTTATAACCCCTATACTTAATAAAAATACTAAAGGCCTTACGATTATACTTAATCTTATTACTATAACTTTCGTAAAGATCGGATTTTTAAATACGACTTAATATAGTATTAGAATATTACGGAAATAAACTTAACGGACCCTAACCTAGGCTATAACTACTTATTTATAAATCTACGGGACTAGACCTTAAGAAAAGAAGCTAATATTATAACTTAATATATATAACTAACCTAGAGGCTAGCTTACTAATTGCGGTAACTAAGTATACTATATATATAAATAAAATAGGGATACGGCTACTCCCTATAAAATAGAAAAATTATAAATAAGTTATATATTAATAAAATAAGGATTATTTTAGATTAAAATAATTTAATATAACTTAGGGGCTAAACGATTATTTTAAATTAGAATAATTAAGAACGACCTAAGGGATAAAGGATATATTTAAAAATAAAATTTATATATAATATAAACTTAAGCCGGGCTTAAAAATAGACTTTTATAGCTTCTTTAGTAATTAACTTAGTATTAGATCTTACGATCGCTTTTAACTATCTTTACTAAGAACCCTTTTAATAAGATTACGATTAATTACTAAAGCCTTACCTACTTTATAACTTATAGATATAGTTTTAAAAAAGCTATTTACGACTATAATACTATTTACTTAGTACTTATAGCCTTAACTTTTACTAATATACTTATTATAACTAGCTAGCCGTAATATTATATAGTAGTTAGATTATTAAGTTAACGTATTACTTATTAATACTATTACGGACTTCTTTTATTATAAAAATATATTTTAACCCGTCGTTTAGAATAGCGAAGTTTAAAATCTCCTTTTATAGCGTCTCTTATTTAATATAAGCTTTTATATTAAAAAGCTCTTATTTAGTATAATTAATAGCCTCGGTAAGTACGTTTTTAATTTAGATCTCGTTAACTTAGCTACTATTAAGCTAAATAGATATTCTATATTATAAAAAGGCCTAGCTAATTATTAAGCCCTTCTTATAGGCTAATTTAGTAACTACTATCTCGACTATTTTAATAACTATTATTCTCTTTATACCCGTCTCTTATTTAAACTCCTCTTACTTATTTAGCGCTTTCTCTTCCTTATTAAATACGTAAGCATCGGTTATTTCTAAAAACTACTACTTAAAGGGCTTATTAATTACGGTATTAAAAAGTTAAAAGAGGGAAGTAGTCCCTAGTAGTATAAAGTAGGGCGTAATATAATACTAACGTAATAGTACTAAAATAGAATTTATTTTATAAAAAGAAACGATATTTATAATTAATAAGTACTCGTCTCTCTTAATTAGCGCTATTAATTCCTCTTTAATCTATTTTTTAAATAAGTACTTATTATTATAGGCCGTCTTATTAAACTTAACTATTACTCCTTTTATATATAATAGGGCCTTTTTTTTTAAAATTAACCCCTTTCCTTTGCGGGCTTATTATAGAATATTATTTTCGGTTTAATTTATTATATATTATTAACGAAGATATAGAGTATTAATATAGCATATTACTTACCCTAATTATTATAGTTGCTCTTATTAACTACGGTTTTAGCCCCGATATCGTTATATATATAACTATCTAAGTATTTAAAAAGAACTAAGGTCTCGTTAAAGTTAAGAATTTATAAGTTAAAAAATCGATAAGCTAGACTCCTAAATATATCTCCGAGGTTAGACCGCTTTACTATTATTAAAGCTATTTAGTTAACTTATTAAATAAAAAAAAAAAAGCTATTAATAATTTTAAAGTACTTAGTAAGTAACTTAGTTACCTATTTAGTAAGTCGACGTTAGGTAATTCGTATACAATTTTAAAAACTACGAAACTAATTAGAGAAAAAAATAAAAAAATATTTATTATTTAGATTCTGCTTAATAAAAATCTACTTAGCGTTCTTTTTAAACTAACTAGTATTAATAAGCTTTCCCTTACTTCGTTACTAATAAAAGGCGCTATAAAACGCTATTTCGAGCTTTAGTTACTATGAGTAGTAAGCATAGTTAGAGGACTAATTAATAATTAACTCGCAATTTTAATACTAAATAATAACTGTACTTCAAGGGACTTTAAACTAATTTATAGCTTTTTAGTATATAGGACGTTTATATATCCCTAATAACTCGGTCTTGCCCTAGTATAGCTATAATAAGCAGACTACCTCCTTATTAGTCTTTTTAATACGGTAATATTTAAAAAATATAAAGAGGTTAACTTTAGTTTAGTAAGTATAGTAATAAGGGCGCCGCTTAACTAAGTAACTTCGTAATATATATTTTCGGTTTTTAATAGGGGTAAAAGTAGGCCCGCAGTGCTTAGCTACTAAAAGTATAATTAGCTCTTTTATTATATTTATATTTTTCTTAATAAGGGCCCGTCGTAAGGGTATCGTAGGTATTTAACGAGGCCCGTAGTAGAGGTATAATTAGAGGTATAATTAATAGTATAATTAATAATTAAATTAGTAATATAATCGGTAGAAGTATAAGTAGTAGTAGGCCGTAGTAAGTAGCTAGGTTAATTACTGGGCTACTAGCCTGGGCAGGAGCTAGAGGTGGGTAGAGGTAGGTCGAAGTGGGTAGTTAGGTAAGAGCAAAAAATAGAAAATAATCACTTACTACCTTCTATATACGGTATAATCGATTATATAATCGAATATAATTAACCGCCCGAAAAGGTTTGGTATAGGAAGCTAGTAGGGTTGGCACGGGCTAACGCAAGTTTGAAGTGCTCGAGTTTCTACGGTAGCTTTCGTTGTCGCCGTCGAAGGATCGTAGGCTGCAAGGGGAGCCACTGAGGGCTTGACAAGGTTGGTGACGATGCTCGTCCCGTGGCGCGCACCGGTCCAGTACCAGGAAAGCGTCATGTTCGTCCCGCCAGTTCAGTCGGAATCTTGGCTGCGGAAAGAAGCATGCTGGCATGGTTTGGCAGTGGTAGTATGCGAGTGAGACGGCTGTGCTGGTCACTAACGGCACCAGATTTGTTCAAGGTGCACACAGCCACCACAGCCTGCTTCTCAGTCGGACCAACCGATGCAGCCAGGCCTTGTTTCGTGCAGGTGGATAGCAAAAGAAGCTTGACATTTCATCACTTCAAACAATGACGAGGGGAGCGGGGTGCGTTTCTCTGCAAGGTCTGCAAGTGCTCCGAGAGGCTCAATCGATTCCATCGCATCGAATCGTGTCGCAGTGCAGCGCATTACATCGTGGCAGCAGCAATTGGAGTTGGAGTTGACATTGAGGGGGAGAGGAACTGGATGGAAGCTGCTGGGAGGTGAAAGCTCCGACCACCTGTTTTTTCCCCGGGCCGTCGCACAAACTCTTGGAGACAACGATACGTACCTCATCATGTCCACACCGCTCCCTTCCAGTTTTCACCTTCCGAATCCAACCGCCGCCAGCAGGCACCAGTCGCATTCTGCCTTAGGTAAGAACAAAATCCCCCAGATTCCCTTGATGACTAATACGGGCTCGAGGTCACCCGATGCGGCTCACCCTAGACTTACCGAAGGTACGTATCTCAGTACCTTAAACGTCTGCCTGGACGGCCGTCATCTTGACAGAGCTCAGATTCCCACCTGTTTGTAGCCGTCTCTGCTGGGTCTTGACAGCCTGTTACAAAACGAATTGGTCGAGGTTCCAGGCTCATAGGACTTGTCCACAATCAGCTTCTCGTACATGGCAGGCTCATCGCTCATTGGCTCGTGGCCCGCGTCACCTCAAGACACCCACCACACCAGACGCGTCAACGCATCCAGGCACTCTCAAGGACTACCTCCGATCCTTCGCCGGCTCGCTTCTTTGAATCCAGTCATTACAGTCATATTAAACTCGCCACCAGTTGCCTAGCGATAGACGCGGTAAAAATTGCGTATCCGGAGGTCGACTACTTCCACTTCCACCTGAGCTGAATCAACAGGATCTGAATCGATGTTGCGATGCATCATGCCTCCTCACACGACCTGATTATCTCACCCCCGGATCTCCGAGAAATAGGTGGCCGGAGGGCTCCCGACCAGCTGACCGCGAGAATTCCCACAAGGCTGTAGGATCTGCTTCCCTGAACCCCCTCACGTCTTTCTTGCACAGTGCCTGGCACACACAGCCAAATATCGCAACCACCAGATTAGCTTCTCGGCCCCCATTTGGGGGCCGTTTCGATGTAGCCCATCGGAGGCCGCTCGGAGAGACTGGAATTCGCTGGAAAATATCTTCTTGACCCCGTGTTCTGAACATCCTTCTCTCATTCCAGTATCAAGAAATCGAACCGCTTGTGTCACCCACAATACACATAGCCGCGCGGAAAGGTCGCTACATCATCATCAAATAATTGGTGGCGTTCAACCAACCCTCCCCAGCCTTACGAGGCAGATTTACTACTCCGAAACGGACTTACCCATCACTAATATCATTCGCCAGACTCAAACACCCACATTTAAGGCTGCTGCGAGTCAGGCCGGGTCTTCCGGGGCAAAGTACTGTACACGCACAAACTTGCGAAATGCTCGGCGTTCTTGGCTCGTGCGTTCTGCTAGGAACATGGTCTCTGATTGATCCGTTTCAAGACAGGGAACCCAGACTATTCTCGTCCCGACTGTGTTATGCAGATGAACTGACTTCCCCAGAATGCTTCTGGAAGGCTGTCTACTGAAGACTCATCCTCGTCACAGCGTCGTACGAACTATTGACAGTCAAGAGGCTTGTGATGGGTTACGCCATGCCATCAATGCCGTGACACGCAACACGACAAAGCTTGCGCGCTTACCCGCATTATCAGTACTACATCTCATTTAACCTAAGCTCGAAAATGCCTCGCTCTCGCAGTTCTGGGTCATTGACATGACCGAGATACCGAAGTTTGCGTAGCTCTTCACGCCGCGGCGTCCGTTCTCGGTCCTTGTATGCCCGCGAGCTACTGTAGACTCTTCCAGGTACTGTATAGCCTTGCCGTGGTGCTTCGGAAGTGCCTACTGGCGTGAGAATAGCGGAGTGGAGGCTTCTTGTGGGTTTCCAAAGTATGAACCTGACGAACTTTCTAGCCTTCGATCATGCGAAGTGGAAGAACGCCATGCCGAACGGCGCTTCGTGCCTCGTCACTTATCCATGTATTAATACCACCCCGCGAGAAAGATTGTCTCTTGCCTGACCCATGCTTTTCACTTCGTACAGAATTTGATGCTTGTATTACCTCTGCCTCCCAAACTGCCTACGTGAGCTACATCCCCACCAAACAACCCAGCCATACGCCTATGCCTTGGCTTTCCCTGTGATAGACTGCCTTGGAGCGAGGTTGAAAGTGCCATCGGCTCTCTTCACTCGAGGGTTCGTTTTCGTCGGCGTCAGCTCGTCACGCTTCTCTTGGACTGCTTCTTCGGCGCGTTTCTCCTTGAAGGGGCCTGCATCATCATCATCCGAGTCCATTCTGGCTTGCTTCGTTTGTGTCTGTCGTGGAACCAGATTGAAAGTTCCGTCTGCTCTCTTCACTCGAGGGTTTGTCTTGGTTGCCTCCAGTCCCTTCTTGCCCACAATTTCATCGCGTTCAACGAGTGGCATCCCCGCATTGGGGAGCGACTTGAACAAGAGTTAGTCAGGCAGTTTTGGTGGAGCAGACTGGAATCACAACTTACGGCTACTACAGCGCCTGCGCTAGCAAGAATAAGAAGAGTCGATGTGAACTTCATGATGATGATTGGAGTGAGTGGGTTCTTGCTAGGAGCAGTTACTAGAAGTTCGATGTCGAATCGAGTGGATTGTGAGTGGACAATTGCCAAACGGACCAAACAATTCAAGGCCTAGCTGGTTGGGCCCCGGGTAGTGTGATGGCTAAATACAACAAAACCACGAGGGTTGACTCTTGGCGCCTACCCCGAGTGGTCGATGCGCAAGTTGTTTGTAGAAAGCCTCACTCTTGTGCCAAAGCGCCGTATCGCTGAAACGGCATTGGTGGGAGGAACGCGTACGGCACCGTGCATTGTAGGCCATCTTGGCTACGACTGGGTCAATAGTCGTGGAAACATACAGCGTAATGCCGGTAAATTCTTCGAAATAGCGTGAAGTTTAATGGCAATTGTCGCCGGGGGCTTTCCAAGCTATTGGGAGGCGGAATTTTGAGGTTATGCTGTGTGGCTGAGACTTCAATCCTGACGGCAAATCCATTCATTCGGCATAACATGGAAAAGGGGCATGGCATGCAATGAATGTCTCAAGCGTAACTGACTCAATTACATCAACCCACTTGGACGATCTCCCGAACACTGGACTCTCCGCCTTGAACTCAAAGTGTCAGCGTTTAGCCGGACTGCGTCCTGGTGCATCTTGAAAATCGAGCCAACGAAATGCTCTCGTTGAACACGGATGAACCGAGGCGTAGTCTGATGTTTTGTCGCCGTCAGAAGACTGACTCGTGGCGGGCATTTTTGGTGAGATTTCGTAGAAACGAGGCCACTACGGATCGACGACGGTTTCAGGTACGCTGTTTCAGTAAAGAATGAAGGTCAAAGTCTATTCCGATGATGTTGTCAAGATCAGATGGCTGTTCATGGGGCCAGATGGTCTTTCAGCCCGCGGTAATTCGGTGGCAGTGAGTGGCAATACTGCTTGGCCTTATCTCCTTGGACCTTGGTGATTGTTGTGCAATACAGGATTCAAGACCTGTGTTTGAGTTGACCCTGTAGAGCGATTACCATTGTAATATCGACACGGATACCACATACAATGGCGGCTCTGAAGCCCGTCAACCAGGGGATATGGTCTTTTCCAAGATTCCTTCCCTTCTTTATCCCGGTAGTTTCCCTTTACTTCCTGACGCCGATTCTGAACGAAACATGGTCATCCTGGGTACTATCTCGAAGCGATACTCACTTAAGCGAGCTTAGTCGGGCATCATTGTCAGAAAAGTCATGGTTGAGTTCAGTCCAAAAGAGACATGAGTGGATGAGTGTGAACAAAGACTACGACTCGATACTGTCAGTAGAGTGTTTCCGGGTCGCAGTATCAATATCTGATTGTCAACTAGGTTTACAGCAAGAGATGAAAGTCTCCGCTTCTGGTATACCATCTGGGACCTGTTCCCAGCAACCTACACGTGTCCCTGGGATGTCCAACGAGTCGGCAAACTCGGCGATGGGGGGAAGTGGATATGCGGAATGAGTAAATACGAAAGGGCGAAACCTAAACCTAGAGTTTCAGAGAAACCTATTCGCATCTACAGCTTTGGTATTGGAGATGACTCCTCTTTCGAAGCGGAGATGCTCAACCGCTCCAGCGCTGCTGAGATGTACGGTTTCGACGACACAGTCGACGGTTGGGGCAAGGGACTGGAGGCGTTTTCAAACCGGACGCACTTTTTCAAGACGGCTGTCGCAGAGTACGACTACTACGATGAAAAGGAGAAGACAGAGTTTCTCTCAATCAAGAGCATCATGAAGAAACTGAGGCACGATTACGTGGACCTGATCAAGATGGATATCGAAGGGGATGAGTTTCCAACATTGGAGTCATTTTTGGGAGACTATGCGAAAGGTGGTGAGCTTGAGGGCAAGGAGGTTCCAGTTGGTCAGATGGTGATTGAGATTCATGTGCCGGAAAAGGGACCCAAGATCAGTCAGTTTGCGGAGTGGTGGGAAAGGATTGAGGAGGTTGGCTTCAGGCCTGTTTGGAGCGAGGCAAATCTCCTCGCTGTCACGGTGGGAGATGGAAAGCCGTGTTGTTTTGAGGTATGCCATGCCAGAACCTTTTGATCATCTCTTGCAGTTGACTAACCCTTCTTTGACAGTACACTTGGATAAATAAAAGAGACAGGAGAGGCGTCATCTGGGATAGAGGAAACGAAGCTCTATGATAACATCTTGCAACAACATGATGTAATGGAACTCTAGGGTAATGTTGGAGAATCCGTAGCTCACATATCAACAAAACTACTGGCACTTTAGAAGTCTATTCAAATAGAGGTGTATTCGAAAGTACGATGACTCTCATTGCTTTCCGCCATTTACTAGAGCAACGCAGCTCTCTTGACTATTCGCTATGCTCTTTTCTTTCGTCTCTTTCTCCTCATCCGTAGGCAAAGGAATCCAAGATGGGTCAAAAGACCTGAAGTATCGATTCATCGTTTCGTTAAGAGACTCGGGAAACGGGTATGCACGACTAATGGCGTTGAAAGAGGCAGGGGTGGAGGGAAGGGTCGGAGGGAGGTTAGGTCCCTTACCTTCGACTTGTCGAGGTTGGCTGGACGCAGTACATCGTCAGTATCTAAATCCAAGAAATTGTAATTGCTGTAGAGAATATTGGTTTCACCTTTCTTTCGAATTCGAATTCATTCTCAATGAGTGATTTGACCGAAGCTTAAGATTGTATCAAGGTTGATGTGACGGTATCGTGGCCCGGTAGTTCACTTCTGACCAACCTGCTCTCGACATTGGATTGGGCTTTATATCTCTCACTCGAACTAAATTGCTGTTTTAAATACCAGGGACTCTCGAAATGGTCTGCATTGTTGGTTGGAGAGGACTCAAAAGGACTCTTTCTCTTTGTCGGATGGATGTTCCACAAGCAATTGTGAGTCCTCCTGAGTTAAGAGGACTCAGGCTTAGCGTCAAGCTTCCCACTACCAAATATCATATGCAGCTCGGAACTTCATTCATCCCCAGCAAAGATCTTGAGATCATCTGCAATAAATCTAGCGGAGCTATGTAAGTGCATGGACTAGCCATGGTTCCTGTGTTACATCGCTGTGTTGGCGACTCGAGATCTTGCAACTGATTTCTCAAGATAATGCAGGATTGACATAAAATGTCACTTAGCGGCGGTGCAAAAGCCTTGTTTGAAAACCAGGATCTCGGAGAAGCTTCTAGTCGGCTCAACCCGTGCACGTGTGCCCCGTTGGTGTTCCCAACGAGATCACCAATGACAGGGCAGTGTTGTGTCTGAGTGGTCCATACCCTCGTTCAGCTGGAATTTTGAGTCCTGCCTTCGGTGTGACATTCAGTCCGCATACTGTCTAATTGGTGGTAGATGGTCTTGGCATCTGCAAGCCACAGGACTCTTATTTGCCTGCAGATCCTGAGTCCGCCCAAACAACACAGTACTTAACCGCCAACCTCTCCCCTCAGGCACCGTCTTTCGTTTCTTTCAAAGCCTGTCAAGATCTAGACACCTTTTTCTTTCTTCTGTAAAGTAGACTCTCCTGCTTTACAGGACACTTTTATCCCGTCACTCTTGCCTTGCAAAAGGCGCTACCCTCCTTGTTTACCATTTCTGCCCTCAGAGGCCGCCGTCCGTCAGAAAGACGGCGGCCTTTTGACGGGAACCGATCGATCCTCGAAGGGTTTGGTGTGGAATCCTTTCCCCCGAAACACTCGTCGACTTTGATTGCGACTCGCCACCCCTTTATGGCAGCCGAAGTGAGCCACGCTCACATCCCAGCTCGGGGCAGTCAAGGGCCTGGGATATCACATGTATAACATCACCCAGACCGCCAGACCTTTTCGATTCCCATGACAACGATTTCATTGGGTATGTCGATGGCTGTCTAAACGCAACTTTGCTCGACCAAATCGAGCGCGATGAATTCATATTCGAGCAATTCTCGAACTTTACAACATCCTCGCTATTTGAGGAAAATAGCAACACGCCACTGCGTTTACCAACTTCGCCATTCGAAGACAACAGACACAAACCTGTCAAATCATCGTGCCATTCACGAAAGAGATATACATGCCAACACAGCAGTTGCAGCTATTCCTGCGACCTGCCCAAAGATATGCGAAAGCACCGCCTCAAGCACAACAAGCCGACACAAGAAGAGCGCTACGCCTGCCCAAATAGCGGCTGCAAGAAGAGATTTCCCCGAAAGGATAATTGCCTCCGACACACACGGGAATATTGCAAACATTCGTTTCCGTGAAACGACTAGAACTGCCATCGATCTACGCAAGGCCATAAGCCTGTTGAAGAGGCATCTAGCATTTATACATTACTGGACGAACCTTGATAGTAATGTAACGTATGAGATCCGGTGGAGGGGGGGGGGGGGGGTGCAGTGGGGCTTACAACTAATGTACACCGACGACACAATATACCGAGCGTCACATCCCGAATCCTCCAAACGAATGTCATTCTTGATAACCAGTTGCGTTGCTCGATTTTGGTGATCATCAAATGAGGCTGCAACTGCCTATGCAGCCTCATCTAATGATCACTGAAATCGGATAAGGTCAGTGGCCTAATTGAGAGTGTTATAGACTATAGGCGACATGGTCAAAAGACTACAACTATCTAAGAAAAGATGTAATTACTGGAGCAGTTTGCGAGCCTAGATCTATCAAATACATTCGCTCATCGAACGGACCCGAATTGTTTGTAATTCTTTGCTTGGGAATTGAACGAGAACAGGAAACCATGTGTTTTCTCTCGTACATGTGATCCAGAGTGATCAGTAACCGCCTTGCCAATATCGAGCAGAGCCTGGACGAAATCTCGGTCCAGACTAGTGAGGACTAGGTGATAGGACATAGTCGACGCCCCTAATCCACCGGACGGCTTGGCTTGACATGTTGCTGCGCGGTGTCTCGCCCCCGGACGCGGTCTGTCCATCATCAGCCTCGTCGTTTGGCGTCATCGTTCAGTGCTTTAGCCATCGTCTTGACTGCTCTAAAGCGCCGCTGTAAGTCAAGAGGAAGAGAGAAAAGGCAGCGTAAGACGTCTTCGAGGATCACCACAAGTACTCAAGACTAATCAGAGCTGTGGTTCTGTAGCCATACCAAAGTGCTTGAACGGAAGTTGGACGACGTTATGTCGCTTCTGAATCGTGACCGTGAGCAATCAGCTCGAAACAGTCAGGCTTCACACGGTCACCCATCGCCATCGATCAATCTCCATTCGACATCGCAAGCTGATTCAGACGACTCTTTTTAGCCATTAATTCCAGCCGCAACTCCGGTCGAGTTGCTTCAAGGAATATTGACAATCATCCCAGGGTATCGAGTCACCTTGCAAGAAGCCAACATGGGTCTTCAACTGTACATGTCCGACATGGTTCCTCAATTTCCATTTGTTCCGTTACCCGTCTGCGATGCACAAGAACTATACAGAGACAAACCGCTGCTTTTGGAGACAATCGTTGGGACATGCAAGCCTCCTGAAGGCGAGCTAACCGAAGTGTTCAAGAGATGGTTTCGGCAACATATCGCGCACCGAGTGGTGGTCCTGCTTGAGAAGAGCTTGGAGATCTTACAATCTTTGCTGGCATTTTTCGCTTGGTGAGAAACTCTGAGTCAATTCCGAGATATTTCTGATAACTAATGTTGATCTTAGTAAGGTATATTTAGGAACGATATACATCATTTCGCGACATCCTTCGATACAAGCCTGATGCACCTCGCCCGAGGACTAACAGAAGACTTGGAACTGACGTCCCGACCTCTCGACGTCGACCTCCAGATCAATTGTCGAGAATGCTGCGCATTTGAGAGACGATCTCGCGCTGTGTTGGGGCTCCCTACATCAATTCTGTGTAAAAATCTGCCAGGTATCTCAAGTATCGTTCCGCTCTCTGAAGCTTATCGTGATAATGTCCCTAGACTTGGCAGCCTCCTGGGCCGGTCCTCTCGATTGGACTTTGCACGTTACTTTGTTGACTGCTGTGAAATACTGTCAAACGACAAGGAGCTACCAACCGACTCCTTGCTAGTGCATTTAATAAGAGTGAGAAAAATTGCTCTCAAGTCGATGATATTTTCGGGGAAAAGAACGACTCTCAGGGTGGTAAACCATTTGATGGCCTTCATGCCATGATTATTGCCAACGTCCAGAAGGAGCTTGAATCATTCGCTGGTTTCTTGCCAACCCATCTTCGTTCAAACAGGATGCCCCGTTTCTGTCTTAAGCGTGACTTGGATGCCGCTGATAACCTATGACAGACCTTTTGCGCGACCATTGCATGGCCATACGCATCCGGCTGTTCGAACCTGCCATACATGCGAACGGAAATTACGGATTCAAAACAGCCCACCTCAGATCTCGCATCATGTGGCGCTGATTCACAAGCACTCAGGAGCTCCTAAATGCTTTCCTGTCTCTGAGTCTAGAACCATACCCTACTCTCACGTTCGTGTCAATTCTTCATCTGGCACTAGCCAGAATTAAGGCAGCTGGACTTCTAAGTGTGGAGGACCACGATTGGGACCTGGAAACAGCGAGGGCAAATCTAGACTTGGCCGAAACGCTTCAAATATTGAGCGACCGATGCAGTACTATACCTCGCGCCACCAGCTATAGCAGCACGATTTTGAGCAGTCGTCAGCGGATGGCGGCAGCTTATGCCGGAAACTATTCGGGGATCAGAAGCTGATATCTATTCAAGATCGGTTCGACTGATGCTTCTGACGCTCTGCCGATGATGATGGACCCAGCCTTTTTACAGGACAGCGGGGTGGCGGAAGGATACGGCTTTTGGCAGCACCTTTCAGGTTTATCCTACGGAAATTTGCCGAATATTTAAAAGCTTATACGGTCTATTTTAAGTCACTTTAAAAGCTTCTGCCCCACGTGTCCTTGCTACTAGTTAGCTGTTGCGAAACTTGAACAGGACACCTCATTCTTCTTGATACCTATACGTGCTCTTACTTGAACCAAGAAAACTTTCAAATTGTATTTGACGGAGTTGGAAAGGCAATATCTTACTTAGGTCTGGTAGCCGTGGCTTCAGTCTCACCAATTACAACGGCGCGACACTGCGCGAGAAGGCCTAATGTGACATCAACAAGTATTGCGCATATTAAATCCTCAGCCTCAAGTCCTTCCGTAATGTCACTTCTGTCTTCGTATTCTCTTAGAACATCGAAGAATGCATGTTGTGGAGGAACGGTCCGAAGATCTCCCCATCATGCGGCCCAGGGTACCCCAACCAGCATTGTATGAGATTTGTCGGATGATAGACTGGGACCAGGCTTCACACCTTTTTTGCATGATCAACGGCTCGCAAGTACTACGCAGATCCGAAAGACCCGCAAATTGTCATCGTCTCACGGCACGGGCTCCGACATAAAACAAGTATCATGTATCGGGGCGACGTCAATCGTACACATCAGCCAGATTGCTACCCAAGACGACCCTTGGGGTCGCTGCGTGTGCAACCTCAACTTTGCTCATAAACCGCAACTCTTGAGGAGTCGTAGTTAGTTTTCTTGAGCCAAGAAGAAGACAAACCAATAGTTGCATACAATTTGCTGGTTCCGAGGTCTTACTTGCACCCATTTATCCAGATCTTCCTCCTTCCGAGTGCATGATGCGTTTTACCGACATTGCATTCGTATTATTGTTGGTGTCAGAAAGCGCTCTTGCAGGTGAGCTCCAAATCAACAGATGCACTACTCTTCGGTCAAGCTAAAGCAACAAATCAGCACCGAGACCACGAGGCAAACGAGGCGAAGCTCTCGCCATCACATTGATTCCCCGCGAGTTCAGCGACTTTGCGAAACGCAATCAGCCGTCTCCACAACAGATCGCAGCCAACGGACGCGCGTGCGGCAACACCGTACAACAAGGCGTTTGCGATAATGGGAGGTGCGGAAACTTTGTAGCTCCGACTGGCTTCGAAGTAGTACCAGGCGCCGATCCGCAATGTGGAGGAACAAGCCAGACATGACATTGGCTTCGTCTGGTTAGGCGGCCAAGCTGAACCCTTCCTTGGGCTTCTTGGGAAATTTGGATACTTCGACTGTATTTATTGCCCACCGAACATAATTGGTATACTGTACAAAGAGGATGGGCATCGCTACATAGAATGGTTTAAAGCACCCGCAGTATTCCTTCGTCAGTAATGATCCTCCAGAGTCATAGTCACAGTCTTCGAGACGAGGTACTCCTCAATCGCCACGTCCTTTCCAGACTCCTTTCCGTAGCCAGATTGCTTCATACCGCCAAATGGAGACTCGGCTGCCGACGAGTTGCCAGTGTTCATCCCGATCATTCCAGCATCCAAGTTCTCCATCAACCGCCACGTGCGGTCGATATTCTTGGTGAAGAAGTAACTGGCCAGACCCATGCTCGTATCGTTGGCCCACTGCACCGCCTCGTCCTCGGTCTTGAACCTGTACACACCCAAAACGGGTGCAAAGGTCTCCTCGCGACTAAGAAGCATAGACTGCTTCATATCGCGCAAGATAGTCGGCTCGTGGAAGTATCCAGCCTCAAGACCGACTTCGGTTCCCTTTCGGCCGCCGTGTACGACCTTTGCACCTGCCTCTACTGCATCTTTGACGTGAGCTTGGGCTTTGGGGATGGCGCGGGGCGTCGTCAGGGGTCCCATGGTCGTATCCGACTTGGTTCCGTGGCCCATCTTGATCTTCTTGGTTCGTTCGACTAGCTTCTCCAGGAATTCCTCGTAGATCCCGTCTTGGACGTAGACGCGATTGGCTGTGATGCAAGCTTGGCCTGCGTGACGCCACTTTAGTGCAAGCAATTGTTCCAGAGCTTGGTCTTGGTTGCAGTCTTCGAAGATGATGAAGGGGCAGTTTCCTCCGAGTTCCAGGGTCAGCTTCTTGAGGCCCTCGGCGCAATGTTTGGCGATCAGACTGCCAATGTTGGTCGAGCCCGTGAAGGAGACCTTCTTCGTCAGAGGATGTTTGCAAAGAGCCTCTGCTACTTCAGGGGTGTTGTCGAGAGACGTTGTGATGACGTTGAAAACACCCGACCCGAATCCTGCCTTTGTGGCTAGGTGTGCGAGAATGAGGCACGTCAATGGTGTCTCCGGTGACGGCTTCGCAATCATGGTGCAACCTGCTGCCAATGCAGCGCCGGCTTTGCGTAAAATCATTCTAACACGTTGTCAGGACTGCATCTCAACGGTCATGGATTAAAATTGAGTACTCACGCAATGGGAAAATTCCAGGGCACCAGAGCGACAGCTACACCAATTGGCTGCTTCACGACTACGACTCTCCGATTAGGTGCAGACGGCGTCGAGATGTTTCCTCGGATGCGCTCGGCCTCTCCAGCGAACCACCACGTGAAACCCAGCGCATAGTCAAGCTCGCCTTGAGATTCTGCGAGAGGCTTGCCAGACTCGTGGGTGAGAACTTGGGCAATGTCATCTCGATTCTCGCGAATGAGGCGGTCCCACTCTAACAGCTTCTTGGCCCGAGACCTCGGGTTCTCGTAGCGGAAGGTCTGGAAAGCTTCATGGGATGATTTCACCACTGCGTCGACATCGGAACGGTCAAAGTCTGGACTTGAGGCAAAGACTTTCCCAGTTCCCGGGTCCTCGATTTCAAATCTCTTTTTTGAGGATGCCTCCACCCAGGAACCGTGGACGTAAGCATCCGTCTTGAGAAGATCGGGATTGGCGAGCTAATGATGTTAGCAGAGAAGGCGACAAATTTGAAAACTGGAAAACATACCTTGAAAGGCAGATCTTGAGCCATGATTTTGGTTTTTGGAACAGCAACTTCCTTGCAATGTAAATGGAATTTCTAGTCTATACGATATTGATGGGGATGCGGCTGATGCAGGCTCCATATAGGTGCGGAGATATATAGCCGACTTGAATTTCGAGTCCGCCGCGACCCCGCATCTCAAGAAGTGCCTCCAAATGGTGCCGAGTATTCAAGATGACGTCTTTGTTCGACACATAGCCAATTAAGCGGAACACATGTCTTCCAAATTATCGAGAACCTTTGAGGTCCATGCAAGTACCCACTAGTCAGGCCGGTCTTGAGGCGTTTGCAAATCTAGAGAACCGTGAGACGAGCGAAACCCCCCCGATTATTGAACATCATAGCAAGCCCCCCTCTGTAATATCATCTAGTCACTCTACGTCCTCCTATGCAGTCCCAAGTTCCCTCCCAAGTAACAGTACCGCACCTGATTACTGATGCTGGGTATTCTATCGCTCAGCACGTCAAGTCAACCTCATCCGCCCGCCTCCGAATCTCCAATTCCAAGCCGGGATTCAGCAACGGATTGACGCCGTAGTCCGTGATCGAGGTATCGGCCCCGACGGGAAGTTTCCACTCGTACTGGAGTAGGAGATGCACGAGAGCGATCTTGATCTCGTTGGCAGCGAAGAAGCGACCGGGACAAGCATGTTTGCCGTGGCCGAAGCCGAGGTGCTCCGGCAGAGTGCTTACTAGCTGCGACACATTTTCCTTGCCGGGCTCCTCTCGCATCCGGAGGAAACGGTACGCGTCCCACTTTTCCGGCTCCGGGTACACCGCGGCATTCCACTGAGAGTGGGAAGACACGGCCGTGTTCGCTCCCTTGGGGATGAAGGTTCCGTCAGAAAGAGTCACATCCTTGATAGCGATACGTTGCATGCTAGCTGCAAAGACAGGATGTGTTAGACCGTACATCAAAGTAACAGAGGCCGGATGCTATGACGTTTGCACTTACCAAGCTGCAAGGGCTTGATGCGCTGACTTTCCTTGACAACGCTGTCAAGCAGCTTCATGTTGTAGAGAGACGTCTTCTTCCAACCACCCTCTTGGAGCACAGTCCGAACCTCTTTGCGAAGTTCCTCAATGATCTCGGGATGCTTTGCCAGATCGACCAGAACCTGGCCCAAAAGATCGGTAGTTGTATGAATGGCGACCGTCGACAGGAACAGCTGGCTCAAAGCAGGGTCATACGCAGTACCTTTGGACTTGGAAGCCTGCTCGAACCATTCGATGGCGTCTTGGTACACAGGCTCTGGTATGCCCTCGGCGACCGCCTTGGCCTTGAGGACCTTCCGCTCGTCAATGATGGGCTGAATGATCTTGGCGGCTGCCTTGATCTGTCTCCGCGCTTCCTGGCATCCGGGGAGAAACCAGTGGACTATGGGTCGGAGGAATGGAGGATATTCGCGAAGCCGGTCACCCGCAGTAAAGCCATTAAGGGTGTAGTTCTTGGTGATTTCGAGCCAAGCTTCGTTTCGGCAGAGTTCGGTGCCAAGGAAGACGCGGGAAGAGATGCGGGCGATGAAGTGGAGTAGTGTTGCGCGCATGGGAATAGAGTGCCACTCTAGTCAAAGTCAGGGAATCTCTATCTTGTTTGCACGTCTTGCTCCTTTGTACCTTTCTCTGCTGTGAATATCTTCAGGAGGGCCAGGGAGGCCTCTTCAGCTAAAGGCTCAGTGACCTTTGCTATTATTACATCGTTAGCGTCATGGAATGTTGTGAAGACAAGAATGATCCGAGATTATTGCCCGTACCTAGCTGCTTGGTTAGGTCTTTGTTGATGACGACTAGTGTAATGCTGTCATGTCCTCCCTCTGCGAATGCATCGAAGCCAGGATACTTCGTTTGGAAGAACTGGGCCATGGAGTTGTCAGTATCTCTTCGTCTTCTGTCATACGATTCGCATTCAGGGACGGATTTCTTAACCTCTTGAGAGAACGCGGTGAAGCTCAAGTCACTATGGTTGCGAATTTCATTTGCCATCGAGGGAGGCAGCACAATAGTATTACCCATATCCGTGATCATCTGTGTGGGCTTGTTTGGATTCGCGGTAAACCATTGCTGCATCAACTTCCTCGCGTTGAGGAGGTAGTTCCTTTTGGGGCGGCTGTCCGTAAGTTCGAATCTTCTCTTCTGGTTGATTGATGGGGTATTAAGCTTTGTTCCCTGGAGGGAGTAAACAAATATGACGAGTAGGATGGTCGTGAAGAAGTAAGACAGGGGCTTGGCCGAGCCGTCGAGAGTGTATCTCGTTTCTCCCAAGAGAGAGCTTGCGGCTCCAGTTCCGTCCATGACTAGCGGTCTACCCATTAAGAACTAAAGGTCCAAGATAAGATTGACTCTGATTTCCTTGCGATGATGTTGTAAATCAGAAGCATGTCAGGGGAGGTGATGTGGTAGTATTTATAGGAGCTTGAGCATGGTCGTATCCAGGCATTCGAATATGAGTTGACGTCAACGAGGAGCTAGTATGGCACAACGACAAGAGGTGAATACCTTTTCCCCCTCACTCGCCGCTCGGACGGAATAAAAGCATCTTCCCGTAGTCCTACGTGGACCCAAATCAAGTGTCGAATCTAGGGTCACGACAGATCTGGGGCTGCGGGGATGCGTGGCATGCGTTTGATGCAAACACATTGGTCACCTTCCATGACTGAAAGGATCAAGTATATACCTCGTACATTGTCTCAGCTTTGTTAAGAAGGAGCAGCACAACAAGTTTGGACAGCTCCATGTCCATCGCTGCACAGATACTTCCCGCGGTAAGTTCTTCTTCTCCTGTGGACTCTTCCCAACCGTCGTCTCAATATTAGCGCCCGGCTGTTTGAAGATCAATTCCGCTTTGCAGGCATGTCACAAGAATTTAGACTTATGGTGGGAGATCTCGTTGTTCGGACAATGATGTGCTGAACACTCCATCAGCGAGGGCTTTGTGACACTGTCGTTCAAGCTTGGCATTTACAGTTCGTCTTCCCTCAGACGGAACTGATTTCCCGTAATCCGGGGCTTATGATTTGCTCAGAGAGCCGTACCTCGTACACGGATACAACTACAGGTAAGTATGCGATGCAGGATGACATCCGGTCCGCTAGCGCTCTCATGTGCGGCAGGGCTAGGGACGATCCACACGGGATCTCTCCTACGCCAAGCCGCATCGAGCCTCCCGCCGGCATTCATCCAGCTAGGGGCCAGTCATGGCGGCGGTGAAATGATTAGCGGGCGTGGGCGGGGAAACGGGCTACCATCTACGGTGTCTCAGACCTTTCGTCACGAAGCCGATTTTGTCGAAACCGGTGCGGGTCGCCGCTGAATCAGCGGTTCCTCCGGGCTGGGTCGGCGTGCCGGGCGCTCGGCATACTTCCCTATGAATGGTCATAGCCCGAATTACGTTACGTTTGACCGGTCCGTCACGAAAAATCAGCAGTCTGGAAGCTGGCCATCAACCCACCACATAGGTCCGAAAGAGCACAAACTCGGCAGAAACCCATCGCTGCAATAGCTTGTCTCCCATACAAAGTGCCTAGAACCTTTGCGTTTCGCAGGTCAAGCCCACAACAGAGCTGCAAGATTAACGTAAGACCGGGTTAACGGTCCAGCCCGAACTCCGGACCGGATCCGACTGATAGCTCGTTTTCGCATTGCTTGAGATTAAAGTTACTAGTCTTTTCGAGACGATTTCTCTACGACTGCGGATACTGCTACCCATCTCAAGGGCTCATCACTTTGTATTGTAAAATCTTTAAGCTTCCAATCATTGTCTAGGGCGGCTTGTACATTCCTTTTCTGTCCATCGTGAGCAGAAATTAGTGACTCGCTTCCACCATTCTCAGAAGGGGACGTGCGGAAGGGCGAAAAGGCCTGCGTCCGCCAGGTATCCACAGTCCAGGTGCATTGCCTCAGGGAACCATGACAGGAAATTCTCGCCCTAGAGCTCATCGCCTTCGTACCACAATCATTGGGACCGGCGCGTAAACGATCGTCCTGGTGGGAGTTCGCCGCGGATTGAACCCACCCTTCGACAAATATCAGCTGTCAAATCAGTAATCGTTTGTCTGTTCTCACTGAATCGTTGACTGGATAGACATGTTGAAGCCTTGAAGGGTTTGTGCACAGAGTACGGATACGTGAGCAACAACAATTAAGTTTCTGTTCCCATACCCCGTACACTGTAGGGCATCGTAAACGCATTGCGGCGCCGCTAACTTGACTTTAAGATTATGCCTCAAGTATTCCCTGCTGCACTCCCCCAGCAAAGGCAGGCAGCAAGCAACCCCTTGCCAATAATCATTGAGGAAGCATTACTCTGAATCATTGTCCTAACCTCCCTTCCTCCAATGCGAGCATTAGATGCAAATTTCGAGTGTCCTTGAGTCGCATTCAGCAGGCAACAGTTGAGCATGAAAGAGAGTCCGTGATCAAGTGTAAACCCGCCATACAACCAATCGCACTAACTATGAGACGAAGTATCCCACCGCCTTCGAACCAGGCTCGTTCCCTCGATGAGACGCAACATGAATTGCACTGACGACCGTGCCTTTTTGCTAGAATTGATGACGACTTTCAGTGCCGTTACTTCCAGTGCCATTGATCTCAATCCTTGCTGAATCGCTCCCCATTGCTTTAATTAAGACATTCAACTGCTTATTGACTTGAACTTAAAACAGATAATAGACCGTAAGGATGTAAAGCACATGAGCACTTATCAGAATCGGTCTTTTAATATTCAGAAGTGACGCTCCATCTCTAACTCTCATCATAACAACGGTCCAAGTATTTGGCAGAAGACACTGCTCGCCTTGTCAGTGATGGGTACCATCAGAGCAAAGGCTAATTCTAGGAAGCGAAAAGCCGGTTCCACTCTTCAGTGAACTCATCTCAAGCAGCTGAGTGCGCGGTATTACTCCGTACAGCAGGGTCTTAGTTCTTAGACAAGACTCCCTTGGCGCCAGGTGATCAAACTCCTACTTTCCGATGACAAGAGGAGAACATCCATGCTGGCTGGTTGGATGTACAGTTCATCTTTTCTTCTCATTCTTACGCGGGATTTCTTCTTTAATAAGAGGCACATGATATCTCAAAGTAGAAACGAGTTGTATCGCATGGCCTAGTTCCATAGCCGAGTGCATGATGCTCTTCAAGTCACGGAAGCCGTAGTTTATGGCGTAATAGCATCAAAATTGGCCTCTAAGTAGTTGGGCAGTAAAACCAGGTGCAGGCTCTGGCTAAAAGTATTTTGCGATAATTCCAAGATTATTATAACCACCCCAAGTTACAGGTATGCACATATCAAGAGCAAGTGCCACGGTATCCCAGCACCCCTCTCCCATTGCTGGTAACCATTGATGTACCCATAAAGCTTACACGCGGTGAAGAAGTCTTCACCGCTGATCACGTTGCCAGGCTTCTGTATGCACTTGACGCCGTCAAAGGTAGCCTGTTGGTATTGTTAGCCTTTGAAGTCACGTCAAGTGGTAGAGATACTTACCACCGATCCCCAGCGCTCCTCACAAACCGCCTTCGTCCAGTCATTTCTGGGAATCCATCCTTCTGCGGTCAAAAGGCAGCAGTTGTGACTGCTATGGTCCTTGCTATTGGTATGTTTTATCAGCCCCCGTCATTCTTGAGAGGGAGAAGGGGTTTTTAACGAGCACGCTTACCTCTGAGCTCCCTGGATGAGCAGAAAAGCAAGGGCGAAGGTCTTGAGAAAGGCAGTCATTTTGGCTTGATGTCTGATGGTTGCCAATGAGAAAGGAGTAGGATTTCTGCCTAGTGCCATTTCGACATTCAGTGGGCGAGAGTGCCTATTTAAGCTGCATGTGGACATGTCATGTCGCTCATCGCCATCTCTCGTTCTTTCCGCTCCGGCCCGAGGCAATCTCTCCAGTTCACGACCACTCAACTAACGAATGGGTGTTGCTAACTTGTAATTGCAGTCAACAAGGTCCTTCAACGAAAGACAAAGACAAATAGATGATAGAATCATATCACTCATAGCAGTTGCCACGGGACCCCAGTCTGAGGACTCCGGCATCCCACATGGCTTGTAGTGGTCAGACGCCGCTCAGACGCCTGGCAAGTCGTTGCTGGCTCCGCGGGTGCCGTATTGAGCAACCTAGCAGGGGTCCTGATCAATGAGACGACACAATACGATCCTCATATCACAAGTCGAGCCTCTCGGGAAGGCGGCTCAGGGTCGAGACCTTCATTTATTAGAATTTCGAACTCGAGTCGACAAAATACTAGCTGAACGAGGATGCCCTCGGAAAATCATCTTGCAAAATTGTGAATAAGCCAGGCCGAGTTCACAGATTGTACCTCGTTTGGAGATTGACTCAAGTCCTCAGTTGCCACAATAACGTAATCAATTGATGAAGTACCTACGTAGAGTGTCAAAAGGTTACGTAGGTCATTCCAGGATGCGTTCATTGTTCAAGATTCTTCAACACAAATTATGGCTGTTCATAACCCTTAATATCAGCTCTCGGTTCTAAAATACCGATCGACATTGATAGATATGGAAGGCTTGAAAAGCTCAAGCGACGACATACAAGGTCGCTGGTAATGACTCGTGCCGCGAGTCGCTGCAATACACCTGTGTCACGCACCAAGCTTCAGTCTGCTGCGCGGCCACATCAAAGTTCGTCTGAGAGAGCATATGACACTTTCCTACCCAATACTCAGCGTATAAAGAGACTGCGTTTGTCTCTCTGTTGGCTTATCTGCTTGACTTTTGTGGAAAATATGGACCAGGTGCGATCAATGAGGGAACAACTCCTAAACTAGATGTATTGGCGATTGTAAAAGTCTGAGGCAGGCAATTTTGGAATACGTAATGAAAAACATGCATCGCCCAAATTGCTATCGTCATAGCGGAATCACTTCCATAAGATTGTGTCCCGGACTAGTTTCTAGGCTCTACGTTACCGCAACCCAGGTTGCCAAAACGAGCTACAGAGTACGAATGAGAACTGTCGGGTCCGGACCGGATCCGGGCCAGGGTCGGCCGAAACTTTACAACCTGGCCGACTTCACGAACCACCACGCCCGAGCCGTGCTTCTTTCACTCTCACAGGTTGCTTGAGATAATAAACAGCACATTTCTATTCACATATAAGTATATGTGCAAGTGCAAATCGAAGATCGGAGGTTGCTAATTGATCCCTTTAGTAATCTGCTTCAACAAAGTAGGACGTCAAATTGCCAATCCAGTGACATTACCACTAATCAACTCTTGACTTCAATATTTTTAGCTGCCTGTGTTTATCACTTTGAGCTTTATGGGTTGCCGTAAGGACAAAAAGAACGATTTTCAGGATTAGCCAGGGATAGTAGTAACAGGGGGTGGAAGCTGACGACAATTTTGGCATAGCGATCAAGGCATTGACGAGTGAAGCCAAGTGAAAGGACTGCTGTGTAATTACTCCCGTATCCCATAGTTCAGCCAGAAGAGTTTTACCAATGAAACTCCGATTACAGAGTCTCCCAAGACAACATGGCGCAGATGCACCTCTCAACCATCGTCGGTGTTATGCAAGAGCTACCTCACTTAAGTCCAACACTACTACCCCGCTGGCACTGCTAAAAAATGTACAGCACCTGGAACATTTGCCACGTGATGAAAGATACCAGATGGTCTAGTACAAATACAATTCGTCAAATTATATAAATAGAACAGAATTGATAGCTCCAGATAACTGATTTACATGGTTGATGGAGCCAATCGAGCAACCATCTGGAACTCTTCTGAATCTGTAAACATAAATCTTCCCTCATCATTTCTCATCTTTCTCAACAATCTTCTTCTCCCCGGAATTGACGCTCTCGAAGTCCTCCTTGTACGTCATGAATACATCGTCGTTGAGATGACGGTGTCTGAACCAGAAGACGATGGTCTGAACGAAGAGGGCGATACCAGGGGCAGCCCAAGCCCAAATTAGGGTTGGGTCCGCGATAGACGGAAGAAGAATCTGTCCCAAGGCACTGCTCAAGGCTGTCATGAAGAGGAACAGAGCAACAACGGTCGATCTCATGTGCTCCGGGGCGCGAGCATAAGCCAACTCGTAGGCCGTGACGTTGATGAAGATCTCGGACATCGCACCGAGTGCGACATTGGGAATTTGCCACCAGATCGAGAGAGGGGAGACGTCGTCGCAGTCGCTGGCAGCGTAGCCACTTCAAAGAATGTTAGCATTGCCTCTCAGGTGCCAGGTCAGTCTGTAGGAAAACTTACCAAGGACTCGTCTCATAGACACGCCATTGTACCAATGCACCAATGAGGGAAGAGATAATGGCCAAAACGAATCCCACTGTCATCCTGCTGATGCGTCCAAACTTGACGTTTCTACGCTCGAGGAAGGGGTAGACGACATTGGCCATGAAGGGTGAGAAGACGATGATGACCAAGGGGTTGAAGTGACTAAGCAAATCGTTCGGTGCGCCGTCAGATGTCATTGCCGCACCTTGGTTGCTCTGGACGTTTCCAACGCCGCCATCGTTCAAGTACCAGATTGGGATGTAGAGGAAGATCTGAACTGCTTGCCACGTGCGGCGAGCATCGTCAACATCCTTCTCAGAGTAGCCGACATGGACTCCCCGTTCGGCGAGAGCGGTAGGGCGGACGTTCTGCCACACATTCTTGGAGAAGATGTTTCCCTTGCTCGCCTTGATTGCGGAAACTGTGATCTTGACGAAGCGGTTCAAGTCGGAACCCTGAGGTGCGACTCTGACTGTGCGCTTGTACGTGGCGGCAAGCAAAAGCGGAAGCAGGAAGTAGACGATACCAGGAACGAGATATGCCAGCCAGAAACTGTGGTACTTCTCAATGTAGACGACGGCGATGGAGAAGAAGGCGCCAACGTTGATGAAGGCGTAGAAGATCAGCATGATGTGGTTGACTGTAGTCTCGGGGTCGACGATGACCTTCTCTCCCGACTTGAGCACCTTGGTGTACTCGCGTTGGTGCTTGTACTGGTCGATGACTGTCGGTGCAACATTGGGCTTGAAGATACCGGCTCCGATGGCAAGTAGGAAATAGCTGATAAGAAACGGGGCAACACCTTTGCCGGCTTGCAGGATTGACGGAGCAGCGCCTCCGACCATGATAACATGGGCAACACCTCCAATACCAACACCCCATGCAATGGCTTTGTAACGGCCGATCTTGACGTCTGCAATCCACGCACCAAAGATGGGAATGACGTAGGCCAGGAAGGTGAAGAGGAGACCCAAGGCAGAGGCTGTCTGCAGTCCCAGACCAAGAGCGCCGGCATGGGAATTAGGCTTGGACTTGTCGATGGCACCGGTGCCAGGACCTCCTTCGGGCAGTGGAAACTGGAGATAGTTGTTGAAAGCGGCCTTGACACCATAGTATGATGCTCTCTCGGCCATTTCTACCACGCAAAGAGACCATGATGTGATAGGGATGGAGTCTGCAACTTTGCGAAGCGTCGACCGCTCTTCAGCAGTCGGAGCCGGGTAGGCATCATCATCGATGACAGAGTGTGCCTGATCGAGGGAGTTGTTTTGGGACTCTACGTCGAGGGTACTGACTTGTTGAGCCTTCTCGGGGTGTACGCCTTGGTCGGAGTCGGGTTCGACGACCTTGTGCACGTTGAGACCAATAACATTCTCAGCTGCAGACATGTAAGCGAACTAGACGTACATCAAACTTGTGCTAGAGAACTTACCCATGGTGATCAACTTCGCTCTGTATAACTTGACAGCGTAGGTTAAGAGACTGAAGGAAGAGAAGGTGAGGAGGCCCGGGAACTGAGTTTTGACCTACCTCGCACCTACTGATATGTTATCTGCTAGTCTCCGGAACGTTGCAGCCAGAGATAGATCTCCAGGAAAGTTGACAGGAGGGCCCCATCGAACTATCCTGTTCAGGGACCGTAGGCCTGCCCAGATGGCCAAGGCGGGGCCAAGGTTGATCGCGAGCTTGTGGAAGCTTGTTGCGACATTGGCACATTGCCATTGACCCCATGCATATCCTAGTCCCGGCAAGTGGGTGGCTAGCTCCCGTCTGGGCACTGGATAACGTCTCTTTAATTCCAAGGCTGGAAAACCAGCGAAATCTTCACAAATTATAAGAAGTTTGGAGAACTTCTCGCATTCTTTTGAATCTATGAGCATCCAAATGCCGCTTATCTTTGGTGTTTGGGGAACTTCAAGAGCGGAACGTTACCATAATTGCTGCCCACTTCCCCGGCCAGCGGGACCCCATGTCCACAACAGATATGGAGGCGGGCCGATATCAACACCCTTATCGGTCTTTTATCCGCCGGCATTCCATGACGGGAGCCCACGACGTCGATTGCGTGATTGCGAGAGTGGGGGATTTTGTCGTTGCACATCCAACAAGAGCAGAGATATCCCCAAACCACGAAATTGATGTGCTTGTCCCCTTGCCGTAGTTGGCCGCCGGACGGGACGACCGAAAGCTTATTAGTGCTTGGGACCGGCGCATCCTCAGTCGGACGAGCTGTTGTGAAAAACTAGAAATGTCGCCATAATCCACCCAACTTCAATCCCAGCTCGAGTTGCGTAACAAATAGACCAATATGGCCTATGAGAATGGCATCATTGTCATCTTGCCGAGGCATGAGTGAGTATTTGTATCCTTCGCCGCCCCCTTTTCTTGTTTAAGATGTCTCGGCGGCCAAGCCGTAACGAGTCATTCGTGAGTGAGAAAGATGCGGCGAGGGCGCCCGAACAGGCACAAGATACATCGTTTTTGGAGTTCTTGTGGCTTTCTGGCGCTGTTGGCTGTGTAATTCTCGCGCAATCTTTAAGGTTTGCGATGCTTGGCGGTGGGAAATCTGGTTGAGCATTCTCCACATTCGACAAGCACTGGAGGCACGTTCCAACTTTCAAGCCCACCGTGAAAGCACGCCATCCATTGTAGCGAGTGACAAGTTTGACTGTGCGGTTTTCTCCCTCTTGCAGTATAAGAAGGACGTGGATGGCCCAAGATTTCCCCTCGAACCAAGAGTTTTTCAACATAGGTATGCTGGGACGTGATGCTTACGAATTTCAGTAAAACTCACGAATAAGGCTTTGGTAGCTTCCGACGCACATCCTGTTGCTAAAAGCAGAAGACACTGCTTTTCCGGAAACATTGTCCATTGACGGGCATCCTAGAGGTCAATGAAGCTTCTTATGTTCATCTATCTCATGTGTCTACGCAGAATTCTCCGCGCAAGTGGTCTTCGATTCATTTCAAACAGCTTTGAGTGACGTCACAGCAATGTAGTCAAGCCATCGTAGTTATGTCTGATTGAAAAGAAAAAGAAATACTTCAACATTACAACACCGCCTTATATGTCGAACGAATTACGTATCTTCACGTTTCTCAATGTTGAGAGAACCATATCAAAGCATGCAGCCCCCCGCGATCACAAACCAGTCTAAGGAACTTTGTACTTGAACTTGCGCGGAACTATTCAAATGGGCATGTTGTGATTGGTGGCCACTAAGATCAAGCCCTGTTTAACATCCTGACTCTCCTTGCTTCTAGTAAGCTGCAGCCGGCAACTAAGACCGAAACTAACAACGAATCAACTGAGCTGAAATGTGGAAATGTGGAGATGTGATCGAGTATCTTCGTCGAGTGTATGTTCCAGCTGGTATGGAAGTAGTCCAAACATAGTCGTCTTCTACCTACTCCAACTTGGAGTTTTGTTCCTCTCGCTTTCGAAGGTAGTGGAAGCCGATGTATTATTTCATTCGACTACCCGATGCCATCCCTGACGGCCCTGGGGTAATCAACGTGAGATATTGTAAAGTGCGTTTCTCCCGCTAGATGAAGTGTCTTGAGGAGGGGCAACACCTTGCAAGGTCAAAGAACCCCAATCAGCTGTTTTCTGAAGCCAGATTCCAAGGAATTGCTTTTTGCCCCAGCGCGACCCCTCAGGTTCGTGCAACTCGATCGTTTTGACCGTGAACTCAACGTCATGGTCATGTTAGCGCGGGGTAGCAACTTCAGTTTAAGCCTCGAAGGAACATTAGCTGAACGTTAGGCACTCGTGGCCAAATAGATTCATGATCTCACATGGGGTTTGTCATTTGTGAGATACACTTCCAGCTGTAACTTTTCTCATCCGTTTTCACATGACTCCGAGGCAATACACCAATCAATCAATCAACTTTTATAAACCGAGACACACGCTCATGAATCCTCTATCCGGTTCTCCGGATTCGTGGTCGTCTTTTCGTCAGTTTTCACACCTGAATACCATGGCACTAAAGAAGAAACCAGATCAGTCCGGGAATTCGGGGCAGGACAAAAAGTCGGAGCCGCCTAAGAAAGTGGAACAACCCAAGAAGACAGAACAATGTAAGAAACAGGCGCAGTCCAAAACACCAGAGCAGCTCAAGAAATTGGAACCATGCAAGAAATTGGGGCAATCTAAGACCTCGGGGCAACCCAAGATACCAGAACAGCCTAAGAAGTCAAAGCACCTTATGGATTCGGAACAGTCTACGAAACCAGAACAGAAGCTGAAGAACCAAGAGCAGGAAAAGCCAAAAGAGGTGAAGAAATCAGAACAGGCTGTGGGCCAGCTTGGTCCGCAGACTGCGTCATGCCAAGCCCTCATTCGCACAGCCTGTCCTCAATATCTGACGTCTCAGGAATTTGAGCAGATAATTAGACAATTCAAAAGTTGTCCATGGCTGGAGAATAAGCAGGTGTTATGGAGCGGGTTGATGAAGGATCAGGTTCAAGAATGGGCAGCTCAACGAGGGATGCAGACGCTCACCACCGCCATGGGACCATTGATGGACTCGGGCAATCCCCTATGCTTGCGACAAACGAAAAGCTCCTGCGCGTGGTCAAAGTATATCAAAGGAGCTTCCCTTGTCTTTGCGTGGCGTATTTCTCAAGGCTCATACACTACCGTCCTAACTCCGCCACCGCCAGAACGGTTTCACCCAGACGGTCTAACCAACTGGCAAGACATAGAGGAGCCCGTCCTGAAGGGTCGTCTAGGCACTCCGACGTCATGTGCAATCTTGCTAGTTCATCCAGCTGTCCAAGAAGCTCAAAGTTTCCGCTATCAGGTGTGGCCGATAGACTACACAGATAAATGGCTCGAGAAATTCAAGGTCAATCAAGCCTCGATTCACACCTGGAGAACTATATCTAAATCAAGAGGTCAGTTCCTGTACTACTCCATATTCAGATTTTATATGATGGCTGATCAAAGTACAGCCCACACATCATGGATGGTCCCTACTGACGAGCCACTCAAGTCGGCGGATAGGATCAAGTTGAGCAACACACGCAAAGCCAATGCCGTAACACTAGCCAGCACAGCTTCGAGGAATGACAATGCCTCCGCAGATCCAAGATGTTTTCTACAAAGTCAAGTAAACATGCCTGAAATTGGATTGGGTGGAGAGAAGAGACTAGCTATGCCAAAAGTCACCAAAGCTTCAGGCACTACGATGTCACCTCCCGGCCCAACACTGTCTCTACAAAACGAACAGAGCAGACGTCGAGTTGGAGTTGATGCAGCAACTCAGACTATCCAAATGTCGTTCCCTGGGTCACAAATCGTCAACGTCTCAAGCGATGAAGCCCTACCCCCTGGTCCAGGAGGCCAGCCGCAATGCCAAAAGAGCATGGGCCAGACTGAAGCAGGTACAGAGACGAGGCCGGCCGTACCCAAGGTCAGTCAGGTTTCAAATGATGCGATCACTTCCCAAGATAGATCTGATACTCAGCAGAGTCTCCAGAATATTCCTCGAGCTCGCGCGAATCAAGAGGCGATTCAACTCAGTAGACCCGGAGAACCTGCAACGGGCCCATCGCCTTCTGCGTCCATTACAGAAGCTCCATCGGCTTTCTTGGTGTGTCTGTATTTGGCAATTATCGAGATCATTCTATCGTTGCTGCTGCTTCTGATAGGAACTGCCGTACACCTTGGTTTGATGCCATGGAACAGGGCCAAAATGAGTGAAATCAAGACACCATGTCCCTCTACTAATGGCGGCTCGGCTTCTCAAGCAATACCAGTGAATTCAAAGGCTGCCAAGAAAGCTGCTAAGAAAGCGTCAAAACGGTTCATCAAAAAACAGTCTTTGAGAGAAGCTCAAGAGACACTGGAATCTGGCGTGGCCATCGGGAGGCTTTTCCACAAAGACAAACTAGTGGACAAACCCCAGGCAGTCTATGTTGATACCTCCAGCACCTTGAGCAACTTTTCAGCGCCAACAGTAACAGTATATGGAATGGATTTTGCAAGCCACGATCTGCCTGGACATAAAAGGAAAGATAAGAACAAAAGAAAGAAGGCGACGGCGGTTGCGAGCATCACTGCGGAAGATGCGCAAGTCACCGCGTTCACACAGCCTACAAGGGAATATGCATACAGCTGTCTTGGACCAGTGGACCCCAGCGCGCTGAGGAAGTCCTACTGGGTAGACTGAGAAAGAGGTTTTGATTCAGCTGAGCACTAAGTAGTTGCTTATCGAGGGTCCCAGACTGTGAAAACTGAGATGACCCGGGTTCTGCATGTAGTATGTGTTGTGGCACAAAATGCGAAGATGTCTGATGTCGAGCGTGTCCTATTCAATTATTATCCAGTCAGTATCACTAGGAATTAGGACAGATGCGGTAAAATCATCTCTCATTACGAAACGGCATCATCTCGACTGTCTTTGTCACAAAATATGACGATACGGGTTTTGTGTTTTCATGCAACGTGTAGGCCTTCTCATCGTGATGAAGACAAGGCATGGTAAACTTAAGTTGTTAGTACCTTGTATGGAACGCCAATGACTCCAAGTGAACATGATAGATTTTGCTACATAGAGGCGTATTTCATTGCAGGTTCAAATCATGTCCGCCCTCTGAATTCCTCTTCACGTCCAGCTTGAACTTACATGTAGCCACACGAACCGAAGCAGATATCTTTTACCTTGATTTGAAATAGCTATTGTAGAAAATCATGATAGACTCTAATGATGCCCCATACAAATCCAGTACAGTCTTGGAAGGTTCGGGCAACATCCCCCTGAAACCTCATTATCATGATGAGCCCATCTCATCAAACCCGGAGAAACCCAGACACAATTCTGACATCGCCGATCGACATCAATGCACCAGACCGTTGCGGTATCCTCGATCCCACAATAGAAGGTAGAAAATGACACGTGAATCTAGACGCCTCACGATCATGGCTCCTCCCGTCTCGATGTCACATCACACATCAGCTCACGAAAGCCGAGTGTATGTTCCCCGGCTAACCCGCAATACCAGCACCTCACCTCACCCATCAACCGTCGGCCGAGCCATTGTTCCACAAAACTCGCATCATCGAGAGACGATCCCTGGCTCTTCCCCTCTCTTCACAGGCCAATGTCAGTGAAGCACCCCGAAATACGAAGGAATTCTGGAGACTGAAGTGGATGAAGCAAAGGGTGCGAGAGGTCTAGACAACGGGACGATCACTGGCGTCATTCAAGCCCTTCACATCATCCAAGTTCAGGGTCCTTTTCAGAGCGGGCAGCAAATCGAGAGGGTGTGTTTGGATGGAAGAGGGATCAGCACCGCTTCACACCCTCTCACGCAACCAATCTGTACGTTATGTTATGGCTGCAGTTGATAAGCAACGCAGAAGCGCCTCATTGAACCCTGAAACGTCTTCTTGCAGGGCTGGCGCAGGTGTCTGTCTTGTGCGGCATATGAGAGGTCAATCGCTTGGGTATCAATCTCACACCCACTGGCAATGGGTGAGGTCGCAGTACACCGACACCGGTCCGTCTGCATCAGACAGCTTCTGGCCTAGGAAGGAAATTATGCCACTTAAAACAGCGATTGAGCGAGGCTGGATGGGGACCACCCTCAGAGAGGATGATATTTCCCGACCCTCCATCTCAAAGGTCTTGAATATCGTCCGAGATGGACAGGATATTGTTGGGGCCGTCATCATCGCGGTACGGGGCGAGATGTTACGGATTCCATGCAGACCGTGGATCCATCGCGCATTGTAGTGGCACGGTTGATAGTATGACTGTTGATGGTGGAGGGCGTCCAATCTCGGCGTGATATTTGACAAAATAATTAGCAAAAAGCTAACGTAACGGCGAAAGTCCGGAGCGAAGTCCACAAAGCATTGTTCTCTCCGATAACGCAAGGACGGTGAGGGCAGAAGAAGACGCGCACAGCCTCGCGCGAACCTTGCCGCCACCCGGCCGAGCGAGCCACAGACACACAAACACAGAGAGCAGAAACACACGCACTCATACACAGGAGAAGAGGGTGAAGAACAAGGTGGTCGGGGATTTTACAGGCCAGCCAGCCAGGCAGATCCAGCCCCTACAGCATCTAGGGACCCTGCCAACGCCGCAGATTATCACAGTTACCGACCTCGTTTTCGCCATGTCAGCCCCATGCAAACGCACTGAAGCTCACTGAAGCTTCTTCTGGTTTAGCAGGTCTAAGTCTGTGCCGCTCCTCATCTCCACTGGTGCTGGCAGCGGACGCCCCTCCAGGGCAAGTCCCTTTCGAGTTTCCCAACAACAACGCAGTACACGTACACGTATGCGTAGAATCCACAGAGGCGAGTTTGACATGTCTTGTTCCAAGGCAAAGGCAAACTAGTTTGGGAGACGTGCGGCGCCATCGTGCTTCGTTGGAGTGATGTTTGAACGCCGGCGGCTCTGTTGTGCTCCACATCGGTCTGATATGATGGATGAGGAATGATTATGTGATGATGGCCTGTTCGTCTTCCCATCGTTTAGCCTCAACATGATGTGAGCGAAGCAGCAGCAGCAGCAGTAAAGTGGAAACCCAAAGCAATGACAAAAGAATTGGGTCTTGCGGGGGTTGGGTTCGGTGTTCGTGGGTTTGTGGGCTGGTGGACCTCTCCCTTGCGCGAACACCCTCGACCGCCTGGACCTTCTCCAGAACTGAGCTGAGCTGAGCTGCACGACGGCCGCTGCTTTGCGGAGACGGGAAGGGGACTTGAGGGGAAAGATTGTCCATCGATCAGCGTGAGTCTAAATCTCTCTGAGGAACAAACGCAAAACGGCGGCTGGGGCTGGATTCATCAGAGACATGAATCTCCACAGATAAGCAGAATGGCTTTTTTACGTCTGGCGTCTCACTCTCGAAATCTAGGTAGTAGATCCCGATTCCCGTTCATCGAAGGCAGACAAAAGCAGCAGCGGCTCATCCGCTGTTCTCAGCGATGCGGCGGACGCCGGGGTAGGGGGTGTAGAAACATGGGAGGAAGACGTCAATAAGTCCGCTCATCACTTTTCTCAGACCTCCAACGAACCATGCAATCCACATTAAATCCGCATTGCATGTAATGTCTATTTCGAATCCGTACGTCCATCGTGTTGAGCGTATCAGAAGCATCGAGAGGCCTGGGCAAAAAGCGTCAATATTACCTGTGCCGCTCATCCACCCCCAACTGTCCCTCGTTCCCGCGCTTAGCAGCCCACATCCGCAGACAAGCAGACACTGGGACCGACCCATCCGCTGGGTCTCGTTAACCGTGAGTTCGACATCTGCAAGTGAGCCTCGAAGGGGGAAGAGAAGAGCCTCCTCGCATCTTGACAGTCACAGACCGACGGTCTAGAGCGTGGTCCATAGAATCCTTCACCCCCTCCTTCACCTCACTCACCTCCTCCCATGGTGTTACGCCCAACGCTCACCGGCCCGTGTAGCTCTTGGCCAAGGGCCTCTCCGTCTGATCCACGGGCAACTCGAGCGCACCACCCGCTCAGTGATCGACAGTGTCGGCTTTGGTTGTCAGATTTGGCGCATCTAACGGACAGCTCCAGATGCTGCAAAGCTTACGAACGAGGCGAGCTTCAGCCAACGTTTGTTTGACAAGGTTGAGTTTCTTTGCTTGAGGCGGTAGGTCTCGCCGGTATAGTCGGGGAGCGGAGGACTCCGCTGCCGGCAAGTACAATTCCCGTCGCCATCGCCTTTGAATTTTTCACCACACCAAAACACAGAAACAGCAAGATTCAACGTCTATCAAATCCGATCTCTGCCTAAGTCAACTCAAACACCCTCCGTAAGACTTGAACCCCTCTTCTGTTGCCTTATGTACACACGCAACTGTAAGTGTAGCTGCCAGTCTCTCGACACAGCGCTCCTAAGGAACATCTAAACAATTCTCATGTTCGCATATCCCAAGAATCGTGCAGTGGCTTATTCGTCATTCACACGCCTAGCCCCCTAGTAGAGGCGAAAAAAATCTCTGCAAGTAATTGGCAGGGGTCGACATCAAGCTGCAGTCCCAACTGTCCGATATTGTCTCACCATATGTGCCTCGCTGAAATGCTCTCTCTTACATCTTGCGAACCCTGGATCTGAACAATTCCGACCACCGGCTTTCGAGCCTCGAAGGGGTGGTCTTGCATGCCATGGATTGGTCGATTAACCACTCAACTCATCTCATCCTCGTTCCCGTTGCCGCTGGCGGGCTTCGTTCCGAGTCCCGACTCCCCATCACCGTTGTCGTCGGCATAGCGATGTGAGTTATTGTTGGGGGTCCCTCATCCGTTTTTACATGTTTCGCATCCGCAAGTGGCCTGGATCTCCGCGAACCCTGGTCTACGTGATGTGCTTCGGAGGATTTCACGCGTCAACTCGTGCTTCAAGGACATGCGAACTGGTCGTCCCCATCGGAGCCCACACATCGTGAACAGCACACCCCTTGGGGTTCCAACCCATGGGCCAATGCTGTGGCTAGGCCTTTGGCGACACCCATTGGCCCTGCAACGACACCAAACCAAACATCGTGAAATGGACCGGGCATGAGCCAAAATGCAAGGCGCAGGAAACGGCTCAGCCAAAACCCCTTGCCATGCTCGTCACATCGTGAGGCTCTCCACCACGACGACGACATCCCATTCCACACTTCCCATCTATCTATCCATCCCTCCAGTCTCGTCAACTCCACAACCCCCGCTAGCCACGTTCGTCGCCTGCCCAGATAACGATCTTAGCACCATCATCGCGTAAAACAAACGAACTCTTACAACCTCCCTGAAGTACCAACATCCTCTCTCCCATGCTCTTCACACACGCCCACTCACCTCGTCACCTTCTAGGCGAACGCCTCTATCCCTATTTCTGTGCAATTGTATTTCTGGCTTACCCGGTCTTACCAGCCAGAAACCAGCCCGTCCAGCCCCTTTGCCAACCATGCCAGCAGTCGAGGGCGCTAAAGAGTCCACCAAAATAGCCAAGGTCAGGAAAAGCCTCAAGAGTGGACGAAACCAGCCAGCGACAGCGCCCACCGCCGCTCTAGCAGAGCTGTCCACCGCACCGTCGCGGGCGCTATCTGCCAGGCGTGCCAGAGAAGCTCCCGGCGGGATAGTAGTTCTGAATAAGAGGGAAGGCGAACAAAACAATGAATATGACTATAATTCTCCATGCCAGCCTTGCCAGCCTCCGAAGCCGGCGCTATAGCAATCGTGGCATAGTCAAAGCGTACGAAGTTTATGCTGCTTTTGCGTTGCAATGGGGAAAGACATAAGGGTTATTACCGGAGATGCAACAAGACGACTAGAAGCACACCGACGGTAGAACTTCATGCTGACTGACTGACCGACCTTGAAGAGATGGAGGTGGCTGCTTTAGACAACCCCTCGTCTGGCACTGACACTGCAAACACAACCCAAACCACCAACGGCCAACCCATCTTGGCATCTCGCTCTAGCTCACCTCTAGCGGAGAGATTCTTCAGAGCAAAACTAGACACACGTCTCTCTCTCTCTGAGTCTCTGTGTATCCGTTGTCCGTCTTTTCTCCAGGCGGCTTAGGTTCCCCCAACAAGAATAAACTTTCTCCGTGCTGTGTGTGTTGCACCACTCCCACCCCGACCGGACTGTCCGCACAGACTTGCCCCAGGGGAGGCGAACAAGAGACCCAAACGCAACAATCCCCCTCCTCTTCTTGCACTGGCTGGGGGATCAGTTCTACGTAGGCGCGGCAAGCAAAGCTACCGTGCTCTGAGTGGATATCTTCTTCCTGAAGAGTTAGAAGCAAACCTCTCTATTATGCTCAAGGTTCTCTTTGATATTGGAGGGGGAGGGTGTTGGAAGAAAGAAGCCATCTTGACAAGTTCAGGCTCACCGCACATCCTTCTCGATATGATGCTGGCTAGGGGCCCTCTGGATCTGAGATACCTATGCCCGCACCCCTTGCCCGCATCCGCATCACACCTTTCGAGATCCATGTCTAGGCTGATGCCCCAGACGCCCACTCAGAATAGCGAAGCGGCTGGCAAGGCATCGGTAGCATGTAGCATCGTGGCAAGCAAGCGCAATAAACGCATTCGCGCACGCAGTAGTTCTTCTTCCTGCGTAGTATTAGCAGTTCTGGCAGCATCAGCAATAGCATCCCATCCATACCTTTCGCATCGGTATCAGTGGATAGGTTGGTCCCTGGAGAACCGGAGTGGAGACTGTCAAAGTTCCAGACCCCTCCCTCCCTGATAACAGCGTCTCATCATCGGAACCCGGTCGCATGCCATGCCACCACCATCACCACACACACACGACTCCGGATTGCATTTGCAGCACACCCAAAGAGACGCGCATTCTCACACATTCGCATACACACCTAGACCGCATTCCGCATACTGCATGTCGGAAGACGCAAGGCCCTTGGAGGCTCCGGCCCCAGCACCCCAGCAGCACCCTCCAGTGTCCCCATCCATGTGGCTACAAGCCTACGAATACTTACAGATGTCCGGGAGTCGCATACAGACGAGATGGCGAGGGGGGGAGGAAGGAAGAAAAGGGCAAAGATTTGCAACCACTGACAAGAGTCTGGGCCATGGAGAACCAACAGATGCGAGGTCTCCCACGCACGCCACCACCATCATCAACCATCCGGCGCTCGTCCTCGTCTTTACGTCCATATCCCTCGCCGCTATCACCACCACCTACACCACGACCAAGATCCTAAAGAGAGCCCTCCCGCATCCGTCTCGCCTGCTCCCATCTAGGTATACCGCTATGCG